TAGATAGATAGATAGATAGATAGATAGATAGATAGATAGATAGATAGGCAGGCAGGCAGGCAGGCAGGCAGGCAGGCAGGCAGACTAGATGATAGATTTAAAATGTAGTATTGGTTTTTGTTTGAAGTCTTTTTATTGTTCATTTAGATTGTTGGATTTTATTAGAATGACATATCTCAATTCTTTTTTGCTTTCATGATCAGTAGCCAAGAAAGAAATAGCAACCAGAAAGAAATATATCAGTATTTTCTTCAACAATACTCTGTTCTATTTCTGCTAACAGCAAACAAAAGAAAAGTCACTGTCTAGAAAATTAGCGTGACAGGAAAAATGTTTTAGGGGCTAACCTCCCAGGAAAGCTACTGTTATTACTGTTTGTAAATCCAGAAGTGTTTGATTTAGCCCAGAGCCTGTGTTCTGGATCTTAAGTTTACTTCCAATCTTACAGGTAGGCCAAAAACACATCACAAATTTTACATCTTTGAGGAATGATTTTGGTTCTTGCCTCTCTTTTGTTGTGCCCCAAAGGAACCAGATATGCCATCCAGTTTCCATGCCCTCGGGGCTATTATAATCCAGACCCCATGGCACAAAGCTTGGACAGCTGTTTACCCTGCCTTCCAGGACACTACTGTGGGAAGGAAAACTTAACTATGGTTTCAGGAAAGTGTGATGCAGGTGAGGTTACCTGTTGAAGAAGAAATGTTTCTATATATCTGCCAAAATTATCCCCATCTCTATCTCTATCCCCACCTACATCTCCACTTCAATCGTCATCTCCACCTTTGTTTCCACCTCCACCTTCACCTCCGCCTCTATCTCCATCTCCATCTCCATCTCCATCACCACCTCTACCTCCATTTTCACCTCCTCCGCTCCCTCCCCTTCCACCTCCATCTCTATCTCCATTTCCACCTCTGTTTCCACATCCACATCCACCTTAATCTCAGTCTCCACTTCTACCTCCACCTCAATCACCATCTCCATCTCTACTCCATCTTTACTCCCAACTCCATCTATTTCCAGCTCTACCCGCCAATTTCCTTAATCTGAGGAATCACTAACCTATATTCCTCTGATTGTCTTCTTGATTTGAACCAGTTCTTCTGTGACAGCTTCTCTTTTGGTTCACCTCTTGTAAATCTCACCTTACTGTGGATCTATCTACAGTAGGAAAGAGTTAGGCAGGTGAGTCTTTTGCAAGACTCTTGATTTTGGGATTTGGGAACAACCCGATGAGCGTTTTGCTTGGTTTTGCTTTGCTTTTATAAAACATGATTTAGTAAAAAAATAATAATGATGATTTTATTAAAGAAATTAAAATGGATGTTAAGTGCCCTGCCTCCTTTTCTTGACCAAATTCAAAAAGAGTTTGGGCTGTGCTCATTGAAGATTAATTTTCGATAGTGCAAACTCCGGTGGCCTAGAGTGGGAGCTCTTGCCTCACCATCAGGAGGCTGTGAGTTCGATCCTAGGTAGAGGCTAATATTTGGAATGGACTCTCCTGATTGAGCAGGGGGTTGGACTAGATGACTTCCAAGGTCCCCCTCCAACTCTGTTATTCTATAAATTTACCCTTTCTTCACGTTCTCCTTATTTCTTCCCCAGGTTGGTTCTGCATTTCAGCTGCTTGGACACCTCAGCCCTTTGATCTGGATAATTACACCAATGGCAACTGTCTTTGTCCAGCAACAGCCACAGGGGCAAAATGTTCTCCTGGATCTTACTGTCCGGAAGGGAGTCCTGAACCCATTCTGTGCCCGCCAGGATTTTACTGTAATGCACCAGGTAAAAAGGAACCAGGCATAGGGACTGAAAAGATACGTGTATCATTTCTGATTCACATCACTCTTGTGTATGAGTTTAGAAGCTTCATGTGCCCAGAAACTCTTTTAAAAAAATATTCTTACAGAAATATCCATCTGTGTTGTTAGGTGAAGGGTATATTTTGTTTGTATATGCAAGAACCAGAGGTGGTATTCAGCCAGTTCTGACCAGTTCTGGAGAACTGGTAGTGGAAATTTGGAGTAGTTCGGAGAATCGGCAAATGCCACATTTGACTGGCCCCGCCCCCATCTATTCTCTGCCTCCCATTGAGTCCTGGCTGATTGGCTGGGTCTTCTTTGGTTGCCCTGCACAGGAGAATGGAGCTGGAAAGCAGGCTAGTGGGGGGGGGAGGGAATGGGGATTTTGCAGTAATCTTCCCCTGCCATGCCCAACAAGCCATGCCCACAGAACCGGTAGTAAAAATTTTGAATTTTTGAACTGGCAAGAACCCAATGTTTCACCTTATTCTATGTTAGGTCGGGCCTCAATTAGGATGGTCAGGTTTTAAGACAGTCTGGAGCAGGTTCAGACATGAGTCATGAGACTGATTAAAGAAATTAAATTGTGGAGTCTTGGGGGTCTCTGAGCTTGGTTGTTTTCTTGCAGACACTTCGTTAGCCAGTTAGATAGCACCCTTCTTCTCCACTCCACAATCCCCATTTCCTTCTAGCCCTGATGATGTTACCTCGTTGGGTAATGAAACGTCTGCAAGAAAAAAACCAAGCTCAGAGAGCATCAAGGACCCTACAGTTTCAGCTATAAACATTTCCTCCCATCAGAAATTAAAATTTATACAAAGAATTTGAAGGATTTGGGGTGTTTAGCCTTCAGAAGATAAGACTCATCACATCACTCTCTTTAAGTACTGGAAAGATTTGTGTCATATGAAAGCCATTGCCTGTTCTTAGATCCTCCACCAAGTTCTGACCGTAAGAACAATGGCTCCAAAGAGCTCGCAATCACCGTTTATGACAGAATACAGATGCGAGGAAATTTGCAAGTTGTCTTATAATTGCTTTTTCTAATTCATTACTCCTGATATCCAGATAGACAGTTTCTTGCATCGTTAATCCTGATATTTTATTGTCATTTTTGTCAACCAGCCATCTGGAAATCAATTAAGCAACGGATTGCACTTAAACACAAGTGACTATTGTGCAAACATCAATGGAGTTGGCACTGAGCTATTGAAGAAAGAGTTAGATGACTTATCATCATGAGTGGGTTGGAAGGACAGTAATCACAGAGACCATTTCAATATTGTGAATGGGTTGGTGGGTTAAATGCATGGGACTCCTGACTCCATCCGAACTCTTTGTTGCAGAATATATTGAATATGTAAAGAACCCCAGATATATGCTATATCTACACACTGCGTGTATGCCTTTGAGTTAGTGTTGACTCCTGGTGACTGCCTGGAGAGTCTTTGCAATGTTCTTGGCAAGATTTTGGAAGTGGTTTGTCATTGCTTCATTTCTAGGACTGAGGGAGAGGGCCTGACCCAAAGTTACCCAGATGCCTTTGCACCCAAGGCAGGACTAGAAATTACTGTCTCCCAGTTTGTAGCCTGGTGCCTTAATCAGTAGGCCAAACTGGCTCTCTTTAACTTTACAATTTATTTATTTATTTTTTATCTTTTAATCACCCGGTATTCCCTTGCATTGCGTTGGAATTTGGGCAGCTCAATGGAGGTGAGTGTTTACTGGCCGGATGCCTTTCCTGTTGCCAATGAGGAGTTTGGTTCAGATATATTCTCATGGTGCCCAGAGAGAGGAATATCTGCCTCTACCTAAGATCGAACTCACAAGCCTCCTGACTGTGAGGCGAGAGCTCCACCTCTAGGCCACCACACCATTCTTCGCTTTAACTTTACAATCCTGCTCCGTAAATCCTCGTTCATATGATGCATCAACTAATGGCTCAGCTGACCTCTCTCTCCATTTGTTTATTACCAATTTACCTCTTCTTTGCTAATCTTTGTGCAAGTTAATACTAAAAATCACCGTAAGCTTCTGTTTCTCTTCTTTCCTGCTTCTTCCCCAGGTTTATCAGCTCCAAGCGGTGAATGCGCTGCTGGGTTTTACTGCATTGGAGGGTCTTCTTCTTCCAGGCCACTAGATGGGATGACTGGCGACATCTGTCCTCCAGGGACATATTGCCGTGAGTTGCATTATCACTTGCCTAGATACTTAAAAGTGATCAGATTTCCAAAACAAAGAACCAGGACTTGTATTAATGACTAAATTAACCAGGATTCATTTATACAATTGTACACTGTGATTAATTAAGCCATAACTTCAAGTATTAGCCTGGGTACAGTTTGGATGAAACTATCTGGGTTGCAAAACTTGGAGTTGCTATGACAGATGAGGGCTAAGAAATGTAGTAACATTTTTTTTTAATAAAGTTTTATTTGGGTTTTCACACATACAAAATACAAGTAAAACATCTTTTTTGAAAATACTATGTGCAGGGCAATGATTACTTATTTTTCTCCCACCTTCATAAAGGTAAAGGTTCCCCTTGCACATGCGTGCTAGTCATTTCTAGCTCCAGGGGCCGGTGTTCATCTCCATTACAAAGCCAAAGAGCCAGCACTGTCTGAAGACGTCTCCGTGGTTATGTGGCCAGCAGGACTAAATGCCTTTGAAGGCACACGGAACGCTGTTCCTTTCCCATCAAAGGGGTCCCTATTTTTCTACTTGCATTTTTACATGCTTTCAAACTGCTAGGTTGGCAGAAGCTGGGACAAGTAATGGGAGCTCACTCTGTTACGCGGCACTAGGGATTCGAACTGCCAAACTGCTGACCTTTCTGACTGACAAGCTCAGCGTCTTAGCCACTGAGCCACCACGTCCCTATATATCAGGGGTGGGATTCAATTTTTTTAACAACCGGTTCTGTGGGCGTGGCTTAGTTGGTGGGCATGGCTTGGTGGTCATGTGACTGGCTGGGCGTGGCCAACTCAACATCACTCACATCGAGGCACGCATCTCCTCCCTTGGCCTCTCATGACTGTGGGGATGCTGCAACAGTCGTAAGTGTGAAAAATGGTCATAAGTCACTTTTTTCAGTGCCATTATAACTTTGAATGGTCACTCCACACAAGCAAAGTACCAGCAAAGGAGGGAAAAATAACTCCAGAGAAGTTCCAGAGACAGGAAGTCTGGTCCTGCCAATAATGTAAAAAGGGTTAATGGAGAGGCAGTTTCTGTAAGCAACACCAGAATGTTTCCTTCCTGCCTTCCTTACAGGATTAGCCCAGTAATTTCTTCTAACAACCAGTTCTCTGAACTGCTTAGAATGTAACAACTGGTTCTAGTGAATAGGTGCAAACCTGTAGAATCCCACCCCTGCTATATATTACCTCACCTTCATAATACCATATATATTCTGAGGTTTGCAGCACAGTCTTTTCTATAATTTGCTTTTTCTACAGGGGAAAAACTCCCAGCCACCTTGAATAAAGGATAGAATTTAAAAAAATGGCACATCATATTGTTATCTAGCATCTTTTTCTTCTTTTCCAGATCTGGACAGGAGTATCTGGATCCAGAACCTTGATAGAGGGAGAGTGTATGATTCAGGTTTAATGTCTATTTAACCCTTGTTTCTTGCAACCCCCTTTTTTCCCACAGCTGTGGGGTCTACAGCGCCAAGCCTCTGCCCACCAGGGACCTTCTCAAATCGATTTGGCCAAAGTACGGTTTCTGACTGTCAACTCTGCCCTTCTGGGTTTTACTGTGAAGGTTCTGGACTGACGATCCCAACTGGAGAATGCAAGGAAAGTAAGTGGACCAGTGGTGGGATTCAATTTTTTTTACTACCGGTTCTGTGGGCATGGTTTGGTGAGTGTGGCATGGCTTGGTGGGCGTAGCGTGGCTTTGTGGATGTGGCAGGGAAAGATACTGCAAAATCCCATTCCCTCCCCACCCCACTAACCTGCTTTCCAGCTCTGTTCTCCTATGCAGGGCGACCAAAGAAGACCCAGCCGATCAGCTGGGAATTGGGAGGCAGAGAATAGAAGGGGGCGGGGCCAGTCAGAGGTGGTATTTGCTGGTTCTTTGAAGTACCCAAAATTTCTGCTACTGGTTCTTCAGCACCGGTCAGAACCTGCTGAGTGCCACCTCTGAAGTGGCCCTACCAGGAAGGTAAGGGAGATCTTCTACTAGGAAGAAGATCTTGAAAATCATGAAGGAGATGTTTAGATCTCAATTCAAGAGATGTTTGCCATCCAAGACCTTCACCTTTGGCTGAAAAATAACTGCAGACTTCTTCCCTCCTATTACACTCAATCAGTGTCCAACTTTAATTCTCTACTTCCTTGTTTTAGGTTACTACTGTGATAGTCAGAAAGGACCTGTCAGCAATTACACCCTCTACCCTTGCCCGCAAGGCTATTACTGCCCCCCAGGGACACAGTGGTCCACACAGTACAGCTGCCCCCTGGGGACCTTCGGAGCCAAACCAAGGTTAACGAGCATTCTGGAGTGTCAAAACTGCCCACCAGGAAAATACTGTTCATCTCCTGGATTGGCAGGACCAACAGGTAAGGAGGAAAAGAAGTCCAAGGTGAATATTAAGGATAGTATTAATGTTTTAGGCAGCATATCTTATATGCTCTGTGCCAGAAATGAAGACCTGGCCCTTTGTGAATTGTTGAATTTCACGTCTTAGCACGGTAACATAATGGGCAGAGTGACTAACACTTGTATAGGTAGGTGTCATGCCCCAGTTGGAATCTGGTTCCAAGGGACAGGTGGAACAGCTGACAGGGAGGGGGAGTTTGGCTGGGGAGGAAACTGGGGAAGGGCACAGTCTGGCTGGGCATTCAGAGGAAGACCCAGGCCCACCCCCTCTTCATCCTAGGGCACGCGGGAGGAACGGATAAGGGAGCAACATGAGTTGTGTCGTTTATGGGGGAGGAAAGGGCCCTGATCCCCTTCATTGGCTGCAGCTGGGAAAATTGTTTAAAAAGGCAAACTACACACAGCAAAGTTGCTGGAAGCAAAGCATGAATTATTTTGGATTGTCAAGTCTTATCTGGGTGATGGCGTCCTCCCAACTGTGTGTGTTTCATTATCTTTTGAAGTCTTCAATTTCTTATCCTTCCCTGTCTCGTTAATTGCTGCTGCGTGGTTGGTGTTGGGTTTTATTTATAATTTAGATGTACTTTGGGTTCTGATGGAATTTCTTCCCTTTAAAAACTGTTCTTGGGAGAGTTTTTTCTCCGGCCGATGATAACTGGACATTGTGGGCCAAGTTGGAGGAATTAAAGGGACTTTACCTATTTTTGTGAGTTTGTTGCTTTTGTGCCACGCCCCGGATCATCACAGTAGACCTTGACTTATGTTCAGAATTGAGACCAGAATTTGTTAGGTGACCTGTGCCCAATTTTATGACCTTTCTTTCTTGGCATGGTTATTAAGGGAATCACTGCAGATAAGTGAAACATGCAGTCATTAAGCGAGTCCAGGCTTCTCCACTGACTTTGCTTGTTGAAAGCCAGCTGGGAAAGTCAGAGATAGTGACCTTGGGACATGGCAACCATTGTAAATACACGCCAGTTACCAAGTGCCCAAAATTTGATCATGTGACCTTGGGATTTGTAAATCCCAAGTTGTAAATGTGAGGACTGGTCCATAAGTCACTTTTTTGTGTGTGCTATTATAACTTTGAATGGTCACTAAATGAATGATTGTAAGTCAAGGACTATTTGTAGTCCTGGAGAGCCATTGTTTTCCATCCCTCAACTATATCAATTTCCTTCAACCTGGCATGTTCTGGCTGTGATGGGCTTCAGTTTCCATGACCCTCCAGCCAACATTATCTTCATGGCCTCCCTGCAAGGAACAACATCACGAGACTGTGTGGAGAACACCTGTCTCCATTGTTGGGTCATCCTGTGTGATGAAGATAGATTTTCTTTTATGTTTAGGTGATTGTACTGCAGGATTTTGGTGCAAAGGTGGAGCTCAAGTTCCAAACCCAACTGATGGAGTATCTGGCCAGCCTTGTCCTGCTGGGCACTACTGCCTTTCAGGTACAGCAACCTCTCCTTCAGTTTGGCTCCTTCAAATGTCTCTTCTTTTTCGGTCAAATGGACCCACATCATCGCTCTCCTTCTAGGAGCTGTCATTCCGTTGACCTGCCCAGCTGGAAAATGGTCTGGAGATGATGGGAACCCAGATCTCCAGAGTTGCAAGTCTTGCCCTGGAGGCTATTACTGCAATAGCACTGGCCTTGTGTTCCCGTCTGGCCCCTGTGATGCAGGGTATGTACCAGAGAACAATGGTGGGATTCAAACAATTTTTTATTACCGGTTCTGTGCATGTGGCTTAGTGGGTGTGGTGTGGCTTGGTAGGAAGGATACTGCAAAATCTCCATTCCCTCCCCACACCCACTAACCTGCTTTCCAGCTCTGTTCTCCTGTGCAGGGCAACCAAAGAAGACCCAGCTGACCAGCTGGGACTCGGGTGGTAGAGAATAGATGAGGGCAGGGCCAGTCAGAGGTAGTATTTGCCGGTTCTCTGAACTACTCAAAATTTCCGCTAACAGTTCTCCAGAACTGGTCAGAACCTGCTGAATACGATCTCCGCCAGAGACATTTTCCCTTTTAATTTATGAATGTGGATATTTCTGTCTACATACAGTACGTGTGACATAATCAAAGAGTAGATTCAGCTGCAGATACTAACTGCCCGGCTGTATTTCTTCTTTCACTTTCCCTCATCTTATCCAGCCCTTTATTAACATTTGACATTCCTCTGCAAATTATTTCTTAACTCTCTCTGATCCTTAACGAGATCGGTCTAGTGGTGAAAGCACCAGTCTAGAAATTAGGACAGTGAGGGCTAACCTTTTCCATGTTGCGTGCCAAAAGTCTGTGCGATCGTGTGCCTGCACCCATGATGCAATGCATGCATGACTCCCCTTGCCCCCCTGAACATATGTGCATAACCCCCCCCACCGCATGCCTCTGCACATGTGCACACAACCCTCCCGCATGCCGCATGCCTCTGTGCATGTGTACACATCTTCTATGAGTGTGTCTTTTCCCGTGTACGTGCATAGATACCTGACAATCAGCTGGCTGAAGGAGGGCATGCATGCATGCGCAGTGGGGCTCTTCCGGGCATGCGCAGTGGGGCTCTCACATGCCGGCAGAAGTGGCTCTGTGTGCCACTTCTGACATGCTTGCCATGGGTTCGCCATCACAGGACTAGGAGACTGTGGGTTCTGGTCCCATCTTAAGCATCAAAAGCTGGCTGGGTGACTTTAGGCTGGTCTCTCTCTCTCTCTGTCCAACCCATCTCACAGGGCTGTTATTGTGGGAAAAATAGGAGGAGGAAGGAGCATTATGTACAACCCAAAGGTACTTTTTCAAGAGGCAACTGGACTTTCTGGTTTCACTTCTCATCCAAGAAGCTTCTTCAGCTCTGAAGAAGTGTCACATCCAAGAAACTTCTTCAAAGAAAAACCAGAAAGTCCAGTTGCCTCTTGAAAATAAAGCACCTTTGGGACAACCATGACCTGGATTGATGGAGAATCTCCATAGACATTGAGCATTATGTGTGTTTGCCACCTTGAGTTAACTTATGAAAGTAGTAAAGGTAGGATAAAAGGCAAATGGATGAATGAATGATTGAATGAATGAATGATTAATCAATCAATCAATCTTGGGGATCACCACTCTGGCTTGTGGTCAATGGCTTGGCTAGCATTAAGCCCAGGATACAGCAGAATCCTTCTTAACATGGACCCATTGGTGGACTCCTTTTTCATGACTGCAAGTGACTTTACCCTCCCTCGTTCTTAATCAATATTTGTTTCTCTTGCTACTTTGGTAGGTTTTATTGCATTGCAGGATCTACCACCCCAAGACCCACTGATGGGATTTCAGGTGCCCCCTGTCCTGAAGGTCACTACTGTCCCTCAGGCAGTGAAGCCCCAACTCCCTGTCTTCTTGGTACCTACATGGCAGAGACCCATGGAAAAGAACGGTGCCCCTCGTGCCCAGAAGGGAAGTATTGTATGACTGGTCATTTGCCACAGTTATGTCCCAAAGGTGAGTTTTCTAGTGGACAAACCAAACCTGTTTCATCTATGGGAACTCTGCACTGCAGGGATCCTTACCTTCACACTTTTCTCACTGTGGCTCTTTCTTGAAAAGGAAATTTCTAGCCCTTATGCTGTTTCTGCATTTTTATAGATATGAATGGATTTCCCTCTTTTCATTGTCTCTGTGAGTCAACAGGCTTACTCAGTTTGGCATTCCTGGGAAACAAATGAGAGAACTCCCAAAATAATCAGTAAAATGAAGATATTTTTTATTTGCAATCCCTTTCAATTCCCTCTGTTCACCTGCCTTATTTTGCCCTCTAAGTTACTCTAAGTTGTCAAGTAATTTCGGTATTTTAAGCTACCCAAAGAGTTTCAGGTTTTGGATGGCATAAAATTTTTGATAAATAGATTAGATAGGTGATAGATAGATAGCAATAACACTTATATGCCACTTTACAGCCCTCTCTAAACAGTTTACAGAGTCAAGATAGATAGACAGACAGACAAATAGATATAAATAAATGATAGATAGATGATAGACAGACAGACAGATAGATGATAGAAGCAGTGTCATGTGAAGGTAAATTTGATTACATAATGTGCCTTCATCCATAGCCGTAAAACACAAGAAATGCAATACAGCTAGTATATTTCACACAAATGTTCATCACCAATTAAAATATTTCAATTGTTCATCACACATTGGAGAGCTGCATGCACACCTATATCTCCATAATCCATATCCATTCCAGGATGCTTAGTCCAGACAGATCCACATGGTTGCATGCATGGTGCATGCATCTATAAAAACAGAAAAGGTATTGACATAAAGGTATTAACCAATGTCTATTTAGATAGTTCCACAATTTTCTTCTAGGTTTTTACTGCCCAGAAGGAACAGGCTTGGACTGGAAACCTTGCCCTCCAGGGACCTACAACCCCATCCAAGGAATAAGAAGCTTGGTTGAATGCCACATTTGTGATGGCGGGAAGTTCTGCCTGTACCATAATGCAACAGATGTCACGGGAGAATGCTGGGAAGGATTTTACTGCACTCAAGGCTCAAATCGTCCCAACCCTAATGCCCAACTCAATGGTAGTCTTGCTCTTGTTTGGAAGGCTTTTGTATTGGTTCCCCCCTAAGTGGTTGTCTGTTGTGGTTAGCCGGCAACAGGTGTGGACGGTGGATGAGAGCGAGGACTCGGATGAGGGGCCGGGACTATCAGGGAGTGGACTGCTGCCTTCAGGGATTGTGGGGGCTGGCAGCAGTGATGAGGAAGTTCCCAAGGAGCCTGTGCCAAGTGCGCGTGAGCACAGGATGATTCGTAGAAGAGAACAACTAGAGCAGCACAGGCGATTCGGAAGTAAGGATGCAATGTAATGGCCCCTCCCTCCAGGGAATATAAGCCTGGTTTCAAAAGGTTTTTGCCTTTGCCTCTAAGGACCCAGCATTGTGTATAGAGACTCTGGCTTATCTGAATAATTCTGTCAAGGCGTTTCTGGTTGGACTAATCGGCTGCAAGTCATCTTTTATCTACAAAGAAGTTTATTTGTAGATTAAAGCTGTGAAGGTTTGAGTTGCCGCAATGCCGCATTTGAGCTGCTGCATTTGTTTGAGATTTTCTTGCTAGTAACAGGGTTGGGTCAGAATATTGTCCTGTTCTTGTTCAATCTAGTTGGGTGAAGTGAAGACATACGAAGGAAAGCTTAGAAATCCAAATGCTGAGTGTTAAATTAGAAAATCAAACAAGGAAGATATTGTTTGCAATAAAGTTTTTCTCTGCCCTTTCTCCCCTCTCTTTTCCATCACAGTTCAGGCTGGCGCATGCCCTTCTGGCTATTACTGTCCAAGGGGTACCATTATTCCCAATCCTTGTCCAGTGGGAACATTTGCTGCTGAATCGAGGTTACATTCAGAGGTAAGGCCAATGCAAGAAGATTGTTGTTCTTTGTTAAGTGGCCAATTTAACCCTTAACCTAAGGAACAGAACTTTCAAAGAATGTTTTCCCCTCTAAAACTGCAATTATCTATCACAAGGAAGAGAATACTTGAAGCTCAGGGTTGAATTATGGGGTCCTTGGTGCTCTCTGAGGTTGGTTGTTTTCCTATTTTCCTTTCATTATCCAATTAAGTAACATCATCAGTGCTGGAAGGGTTTGCTCTCTGTTTATTTACTAGTGGTTTACCCTGTCAGTGTTGGTAGAAGTGTTCTTGATGTTTCCTTCATTAGGCTGTGGTTTATTGAGTTGGTAGTTCCTTGATTGAGGTATTGTTTACTACTTGGTGTTAATCTCTGTTTATCAATCTGGGTGTTGATTGCTGGCCAGGGGGTGTTGTGGTCTTTTAACTTTCCAACTGTCTCTTTTGAATGGTATGTAGATGTACGTAGAGATTATTTCTCTCTATATACCACATTTATGGTTGATTCAGAGAAGAATCTCAGTCCTAATTTGTTATTTATATATTATTTTTATATGTGCTCTATATTTCTATCGCAAAACACACATTGGCAGATAAACCACTCACCTAAATAAACAAGAACCAGAATAGTACAATGTCAAAGCCCAGTCAAAATGCATAAAGAAGAATTAATTTCCATTCAGATTTTCATTGTAAGACAACAAGAGTGAACAAATAATCAGTGTGACTCGTACAACTTAAACTTTTTGAGTTGTAAAAACTCAAAAACTTTTTAACTTTTTGAGAGAATGGTGAGACAATGCAGTTTTAAAGTAAGGGGAATTACAGCTTTGGAAAATTGAACTTTTGGTGTGCTTTCAATGGTGCTGTAATACATGCTATAGTTTCAGGGATACAGGGAAGGTCATCTCCTCTGTGTTTAAAAATCAGATATTTCTAACTGAAAAGACATCTTTGAAAAGGATTTTCCCTCCCACGAACATTGTGAACTTCAGCTGGAAAATCACCCTAAAGATGTTCTTACTCTGTGACAGGTCGAGTGCTCCCCTTGTGTGCCTGGCCACTTCTGCAACACTCCCGGGTTGGCAGCCCCCACCGGACCATGTCAAGAAGGGTTCTTTTGTATCTTGGGCTCAATGTTCTCCAACCCACTGACCACAAGCCAGAGTGGAGGTCCTTGTCCCCAAGGTATATTTATTTATTAGATGTTTATCCCACCTTTATTATTTTTATAAATAACTCAAGGCAGAAATGCTGCTTCTTCCTTCTATTTTCCCCACAAGAAGCACCCTGTGGATTGGCTGGGCTGAGAGTACTCACCCAGCCAGCTTTCATGCCTAAGGTGAGACTATAGAAATTCTTTACACAGTATTACACCTACAAACAAAATTTACACAACACCCAGAGACCAGACCCAACACGCACACCCACATGACAATCCCCAAACATGCCCCCCCAAAAAAATTCCTCACCCCTAAAAACACACAAGCATCCACACAACAGACCAAGTAATACTGTCCAACAGCTCGCTGATGATGGTCCTTAAGTTCATTGTTAAGTGTAATTATAGCTCTGGGATTAAAAATGGTTCAGAAAACGTGTCGTCCGAGTTTTAATTGCTCTGTATCTTCTGCCAGAAGACAACAGTTCATAAAGATTGTAAGCAGGATGGGAAGAGTCTCTGAGAATGTTGTGGGACTTCCTCAAACAGTGAGATGGGAAGATGTCATCCAGGACTGGTAGCTGGAGCAGAGCCCAATGATATTCTGGGCAGTTTTAATGATTCTCTTTAGAGCTTTAGAGACTAGAACTTATCAACTCCTGGTGATTGGCCCAAAGTCACCTAAGGCTAAGCCACCTTTTGTGCCTAAAATGGAACTAGAACTCACAATCTTCTAGCAATTGACCCAAAATTATCCAATAAGCTTTCATGCCTAATGTGGGACTAGAATTCACAGTCTCCTGGTTTCTGAGCCAACACCTTAACTACTACACCAAATTGGTTCTGCATTTTTGCATATGTTTTGAATTTTCCAGAGATTTGTTATATTTTTATTTATTTATTTATTTTATTCTGGAGACTTTTCTTATCCTTTGAGTCTTTGACAAGCTTCAGTTTGGACTGAAATGGCCTTTTGTTATCTATTGATGAGAAGTTCTGGAGAACTTCTGTTTCTAGCATTCAGCCATTTAGCCGCAACTTTTTTTTCTTTCTAAAAGAATATGGTTATTACAACACAGACCAAAGGATGATTGGGAAGAGAAACTAACCTGGAGTTTCTCAAAACTTGGAGAATCTCTCCCCATTCAATCAGTACTGAGTCCCTGCAGATTTCTCAGTGCTTTTATAATTCAGTTCTTCACTTGTTGATACTTCTGGCATCAATTTCTCAGGAACTCTGATCTTATAAAGGCATCTCCCAGGTATTCCTTAGCTTAGAGACTCCACCTGGTTGCATCTCTTCATCATTCACTGGTTTCTTCTGCCCCTGAAACAAAGGGTTAAGCCTTTCCATTCACCTTATAAAGGAGAACACATTCTTATTCCACAAGAGATTCCATTTCTGGGTGTTTTTGTGTCTCTGTGTGTCTTTTAAAAGTGGAAAGCAGCAAACTTGTATTTCCTACTTTGGTACAACACCTGCCATTATTTAATGATTACTATAACATTATTTAATGATTACTATACTATGTACAAAGTGATGATTTGATCTTCAGATAATGATCTATTTCCCCAGCCAAAATCTGGGTCAGATCTCAGTAGGTTAGCATATCCTCAGAAGGGCAAAGATTCAGTCATTAGCATCTCCAGGTCACAATTTTTTAAATTGTGTGGAGCAAAATCTAATACAAACCTCCTGAAATGAGTGAATTGATGGAATATTATTATTATTATTTTTTGGTACGTATAGGTGTGCATGTCCTTACTGGTTGCGTTTTTCTCTTCCAAAGAATTAAACCGAGAAGAAAAATACAGTGTTTTCTCAGATACTTTTGTTCTTCTTCTTTCAGGTCTTTAGATTGATGCTCTGCAGCATGATTTCCTCTTTTCTTAGAAAAGAGTCTGTGGCATGTTCTTTTTTGTCCTGACCTAAAATAAACACAGACCTTTGTTATTTCCAGAAGCCTTTTTCAGAATTGCTCTGAGAGAGAGATAACTCCTTTGTGCTAATCTTCAATCTTGCCTGGGCTACAAGGGGATCCTGCTGCTTTCAATACTTGGCCAATTTCTCTTCCAGGATATTTTTGCCCTCAAGGCACAGCTAATCCACTGCCTTGCCCAGCGGGAACCTATAACGATTTGGAGAAGCAAGCCAGATGCCTTCCCTGCTCCAACGGGTGAGACGACAAGGAGAATCATGACATCTGGTGCAAAAGAAGAACATTGTCAACAGCAGTGGCACATTGAATGGGATAGATAAGAGAAAATGTTTGCTTCTGCTAAGGGCAGGGATGGGCTTCAAAAATTTTAGCAATGGGTTGCTGGGTGGGCGTGGCCATGGTGGGCGTGGCCTAGTCAGCCTCCTGCACCACTGGGGGAGGGGTTTGCCCTCCCCGGGCTCCAGAGGCTTTCCTCGAGCCTACAGGAGGGCAAAAAATGGCCTCCCCGGGCTCTGGAGGCTCTCTGGAAGTCAGAAACAGGCCCATTTCTGGCCTTCCTAAACTTCCAGGAGGCCTGTTTTTCACCTTCCCCGAGCCTCTACCTGTGCCCTGCACTTACCTGCATCCAAAACAGGCTGCGTGAGGACTCCTGGGATGGGAGGGACAGGGTGGGCGGGGCCAGCCAGGAGTGGGATTTGGGGGTTCTCCAAACTGCACAAAATCTTAGCTAGGGGCTCTCCCGAACCCCTGCGAACCCCCAGCAGCCCACTCCTGGCTAAGGGCAATCAAGGGAGAAGGGATATTGGTGACATCCCAGTTGGGATTATGTATGACTTAGTGTGTCCTCTTGATTTCAGCCTTTGGGCAGCCTTAACTTTTTGGTAGTTATCATTTTGCTGTCCTGATTCGGTGTTTCCATGCTGAAGTGGGTAATGAATCAAAAGGTCACTGTGAGGTCCCTTGCAAGCAAAAAATAATAGCAGTTTTAGAGGACAATTTAAATGTGGGGAAAATTAAATTTGTCTGCATCTCACAGCAACTGTTTTTTCTCTGGGCAAAGCAAGAGTTACTGTGGTCCAATGGTTAGTGGTCTAGACACTAGGCTAGAAACTGGGAGATGGTGAGTTCCAGTCCTGCCTTAGCTATGAAAGTGGCTGGGTGACTTTGGGCCAATCAACCGGAGACAGTGAGTTCTAGTCCTGCCTTAGGCACGAAAGCCAGCTGGGTGATTTTGGGCCAATCACCAGGAGACGGTGAGTTCTAGTCCTGCCTTAGGCACGAGAGCCAACTGGGTGAATTTGGACCAATCACCAGGAGACGGTGAGTTCTAGTCCTGCCTTAGGCATGAGGGCCAACTGGGTGAATTTGGGCCAGTCACTCTCTTTCTCAACCTAGCTCACCTAACAGGGTTCTTGTTGTGGGTAAAATAGGAGGAGGAGGAAGAAGTATTAGATATTCCACCTTAAACTGTTTATAAAAATAAAAAGGTGGGATATAAAATAAATACATAAAAGCAATAGCATATCAACCTTCTCCTCCTTTTTCCACCCATTCTTGTTGGGACCATAAGATCATCTTCCAAGTTTGTGAGATAAGCCTTCCCAGAACTCTTAACTTAGCCTCCAGAAGTTCAAGTCTATTTTCTTGAAATCTTTGAATCTCATGACCTCTAGTGCCTTTGAGCTTGTGCTCTGCAAAGACTTTGCTGCCAGCACTTTTATATTGATTTGCATTGCTGGTCCCCCCTCCCCCACTTGCTAGATCTCTTCTTTTATGACCTTCAATGTTTTTGTAAACCATTTTGGCTAAACAGGAATATATTAATCCTCTTTGGAAATAAATCACCCTTGGGCTTTCTTATTTATTGAGCTTGGCCGCGTGGAGAAATGGTGAAATGTTTGCCCCAGGAATTCAATATCTTTCTTCCTTTTTATGCTTTCTTTCTTTCTTTCTTTGAAGGTACTTTTGTCTTCAAAATTCCTCTTCCTTGGTCAACAGCCAATGTCCAGTTGGGCATTACTGTCCTCCTGGCACAAGGTCCAAAAATCAGTTTCCATGTCCTCAAGGGACTTACAACCCCAACATAGGAATCAGTAATCTCTCTCTGTGCCTACTATGTACACCAGGTGGGTATTTTCCAACCACTCAATCACTGACAATTTGTTGAATGATTTTTTTTTCTAGAAGTCTAGGAAAGAAGAGGAAAGCCAAGAGATTCAACTTGAGTGGTGTTGTTTTTTTCTAGAGCAGAAGCAATTATGGGTTTTATTAAAACAAATCCACCTTATTCTCCTAAATTGTCAGGTGTGAAAAATCAGAACCGAGTGTCAGGTTCCATTTAAACTGAATGAATGAATGAATGAATGAATGAATGAATGAATGAATGAATGAATGAATGAAGTGTGATTAGACACACAAGGAATTTGTCTTGATAACAATTGTATCTCAGTAGATCTTGTAATTCTATAATTCATTCTAATGGAAATGGTTAAAGAGATGTTGGATGCAATTTAAGCAGTAAGAACTTGTTCAGACCAGGTTTAGCTTCTCTGAACAAATCTGAAATGGTAATCCATTGGAGCAAGGTTTTTCAGATTGATCTTCTTTCTCTACTGAACATTAGAAACTAATCAAGGAAGAAGCAGCATAGAACTAAGGAGAAATTTCCTGACAGTTAGAGTCAGTCGAATAACTTGTCTCCAGAAGTTGTGGTGCTCCGATACTGGAGGCTTTTAAGAATAGACTTGTCTGAAACGATATAAGATTTCCAGCTTGAGCAGAAGATACTAGATATCCGAGGTCCCTTCCAACTCTGTTATTCTGGGTTGCAAGTTCTCTTTTCTGTGCCATATACTTCCTTTCTTTTTAATGCAATGTTGAATAATTCAACTTTCTCTGTTTCAGGTCATTATTGTGGCTTCCCAGGTCAGGCCCAGGTCACCGGCCCTTGTTCAGCAGGCTATTACTGCCTGGCAGGTGCTTCTATCCCAACCCCAATGAAAGATCTGCTGGGGAATATATGTCCCAGAGGTCATTACTGTCCAAAAGGGTCTGGCACCCCCCAACCCTGCCCCCTTGGGTTCTACAGCAACTCTACAGGAAATACCAAGTTGGAAGACTGCCTTCTGTGTCGTGCAGGTAAATGAGGCAGAGGTCAGGAATATAAATCTTAATGTAACTGATGGGATGTCATCAGAGAATGCAGAAAGTTTGAAGGCCGTTTCAGGTTCTGTAGATGCTACTGGTTGGCAGCAGAAGATGCAGGAAATGGTCCCTCTCTGCTAATCATTACAGGTAGTCCTCAACTTACGATCACAATTGAGCTCAAAATTTCTGTTGTTAAGTGAGAAATTTGTTAAGTGAGTATTGCCCCATTTTACAACTTTTCTTGCCACATTTGTTAAGTGAATCACTCAGGTAGTATGGTGGCCTAGAGGTGGAGCTCTTGCCTCACAACCGGGAGGCTGTGAGTTCAATCTTAGGTAGAGGCAGATATTTCTCTCTCTGGGCACACTGACAATATATCTGCTGAATAAAACTCCTCATTGGCAACAGGAAGGGCATCCGGCCAATAAATACAAAGCTCCATTCAGTTGTCCAGGCTCCACCCTGCAAGGGATGATGGGGTCATTAAAAGAGGATGATGATTTGTTAAGTGGATCACTGCAGTTGTTATATAACATGGTTGTTAGATGAATCTGGCTTCCCTATTGACTTTGCTTGTCAGAAGGTCAGAAAAAGGCATCACACGACTGCAGGACACTGCAACAGTCATAAATGTGAGTCAGTTGTCAAGCATCTGAATGTTAATCCCATGACCATGGGGATGCCACAACAGTCCTAAGTGTGAAAAATGGTCATGTCACTTTTTTCAGTGCCGTTGTAACTTTGAAAGGTCACTAAATGAACTGTTGTAAATTGAGGACTACCTGTATCATCATCATCATCATCATCATCATCATCATCATCATCATCATCATCATCTTAGTCATTGACTATTCATTGCAGGATGAAGGCCTCTTCCACATGTTTCCAACCAACGTGGTTCTGAGCTTTCTTTTGCAATTGCGCCGGCAATAGCAATAGCACTCAGACTTATATACTGCTTTATACTGCTTTACAGCCCTCACTAAGTGATTTACAGAGTCAGCCTCTTGCCCCCAACAATCTGGGTCTTCATTTTACCGACCTCGGAAGGATGGAAGGTTGTATCAGTCTTGAGCTGGTCAGGATCGAACTGCTGACAGCTGGCAGAATTGGCCTGTAATACTGCATTCTAGCCACTGGGAAGGAAGGGAAGGAGGGAGGGAGGGAGGGAGGGAGGAAGGAAGGAAGGAAGGAAGGAAGGAAAGTAGCAATAGCACTTAGACTTATATACTGCTTCACAGTGCTTTATAGTTCTCTAAGCAGTTTACAGAGTCAGCCTCGTGTCCCCAACAATCTGGGTCCTCATTTTACCCACCTTGGAAGGATGGAAAGCTGAGTCAACCTTGAGCCTGGGGAGACAGACAGCTGGCAATCAGCAGAAGTACCCTGCAGTACTGCACTCTGACCACTGCGCCACTGAGGCTCTTGCTGATGTCATCAAGCATGGTAGACTATATATATATTTTACAGCCTAGATCAGGTGGTCTTACCTTCTTAGGAATCAGTCTTGATGAAGTCTTTGGTTTTTAAGAGCTCATTTCATTTTGCCCTTTAATTCCCATCAGCCAACCTATCTTGAAAACCTTCCTGAATTTCTGCTTCTTTGCAGGATATTTCTGTGATGGAACAGGGCTTGTATCTCCTGCTGGTCTTTGTGACTTGGGATTTTATTGCAGCGGAGGAGCCGTTTCTCCAAGACCTGATCTGGTTAGTGGTGCTGATGCAGTGAAGTAGTCGTCCATTGTCTGGAAATGATCCATGCTCAACAGATAGTCCTGGAAACAGGAGGGTCTCCCTTTTAAAAGACCCCCCCTGTGGATTTTAATATCTAGATCAGGAGTCTCCAAACTTAGCAACTTGTGGACTCCAACTCTCAGAATTCCTCACCCAGGCATGCTGTCCAGAGAATTTAGGGAGTTGAAGTCACAAATGAGTTGGATGTGGCAAGTTGGCCATGGGGAGTTGGCTACAGTGTGTTGGCCTAGACCCTTTTTCATCTACTGTAGGTTCCTAACCAGTGGTGGTATTCTACCAGTTTGGCCACCACTGATCCTAACAACCAACTCAATAGCTTAAATTAAACAATCCCACATGGCATAATTTTGCCTTTCCTTTTTGCTTCCCATTAGGATCCTCAACGTCTTCTATTCATTCATTTTTATTTACAGGTCACCAGCAAAGGTGGTCGGTGCCCACCTGGCCACTATTGTGTGATGGGGAGTGATAGACCACAGCCATGCCCGGCAGGGAAGTATAATCCCTTCTGGGGAATGGATCAATGTTTAGATTGTCCAGAAGGGGCTTATTGTGATATCGGTTCTGCCAACTACACCCACTGCCCAGCTGGTGAGTTTCACTCTTCCACAATCCTTCCATTAAATTTCCTTTCTGCAACTCTGTAATCCCTTAATTCAGGGTGGAGTCAGGGCAACTAGGTGGAGCTGAGCATTTACTGGCTGGATGCCCTTCCTGACACCATGTGGAGTTCACAGCAGATATTTTTTCTTTGATCCCAGGAGAGAAAAACATCCGCCGCTACCTAGGATTGAACTCTCAACCTTCTGGGTGGGAGGCGAGCATCTTCACCACTAAGCTACCATGCCACTTATTCCACAAGCCTTCCATTTACTTTTAAAAATGGCAATAATCTAGCTTTCCACTGATCTTCTAGTTGCATATTGACTTGATTCTTTCTCTGAGAATTGAAACAATGGTCCTTGAAGTTTTAGTATGCTAAGGCAAAATGAACAATGCATATCCCACCAGATGTTGAGTTGCAGCTTTACCATTGTTTACCGCCAGTGATGCTGATGGGAGATGTCTGCCAACAATATTTGGAAGGCTTTGTGCTGTAGATGGTGACCCTCAGTTGAGCAAATAGCAAAGATCCATAGATATCTCTTGAGGCTTAAAATGCTCCCAATGCCCCAATAGATACGGGCCCTTGGGTTCATCCGAAGATTATTACAGAGCAGACATATTGGTTTCTGGTCAGGTTCTGGTTTCTTGGAATTTGTCCTTGCCTAATTAGAGTTCAACTTGTCTCTGACCTCTTTTATTTATGATTCTACCTCATCTGATGAGTGGAGACAAAAAGAAATGCACTTGTTTTTGTTCTACTGAATGCCAGTCGATGTTTGTGCTTCACATGAGTTGGAGATATACTTTGTTTTCAAGTTCAGTGTTCTATTTTTAAGGGTAAGAAGTGACTTTACTCACACACCTTCTAAGTTTACTTAAGAGTCATTTGGAGGATCCATATTTTAATCAAATAATGAGAGGAGAATCCTTCCTGCAATTCTCTCTTGTATTTATTATTCATAATTCCTGATTATATATTGACTTAATCAACTCTGAGTGGGCTTGTTTAGAATCAGTTTGCTAAATTAATTGGAAATACCCATCTCCTGTTCACTTTAGGTCATTACTGCCCAAAGAACACCAAGTTTTCTACCCAGTTCCCTTGTCCTAGAGGGACCTATAGTGACATTTTGAGTATCAGGACGGTGAATGACTGCCAGCTATGCCCCGCTGGGAAATTTTGCTCCAAGCCCGGTTTGATCAGCCCAGATGGCATCTGCATGCCAGGATGGTATTGCCCACTTGGGTCAACAACAGGCAAGCCAATAACTACAGGAAATCACTCTGGTATTTAATTGTTTTTTAAATTATTATTGAGGCATTAGGAGAGAGTATTGAAATGTTGAAAATAAGCCAGGAAGGATTTTGATTTAATGTGAATATGGGTATTAAGAGATATGATTGGTATTGTTAAGCTTGTCTATATTAAAATGTATGATATATTGATGCCACAGAGTTAATGTATTTTTGTGTATGTGTAGATTGAAATAAAATAAAAAAACAAGGAAAGAAGCAACCTAGGAGACATTTCCTGACAATTATAACAATTAATCAGTGGAACGACTTGCCTCTAGAAATTGTTGGTGCTCCCACACTGGATGTTTTTAAGAGATTGAAGGACAATTTGTCTGAAATATTATAGGGTTTCCTGCTTGAACAGGAGTTGGACTAGAAGACCTCCAAGGTCCCTTCCCATTCTGTTGTTCTGTTATTCTGTATTCTGTTAATTCAGAATATAGTGTGGGTGCCTTTGAATCACTGTTGGCTCCTGCTGGCTGTTTGAACTAATCCCCGAAGTTTTCTTGGCAAGATTTCAGAAAAGGTTTGCCATTGATTCCTTCCTAGGGCTGAAGGGTATGACTGGCCCAAAGTCACCCAGCTGGTTTCCTGCTTAAGGCAAGACTGGATGTCAGAGCCTCCTGGGTTCTAGCCACTGTACCAAAAACTAGCTCTCACTAGTATCTTTAGGTGGGAGGGATGAGATAAATTTTGCCCCCTGATCAGAAAGCAAAATTGGAATGTATTATTCCTCTGTGCCTAAAGAAGACCAGGGAAATCACCTCCGCACTGATCATATTAACTTGCAAATGCTCAAGGCAACCAAGTGTAGTGCTAATTATTTAAAACTGGTTTATAAAGAATTCCACTCCCAGGCTTTTAGAAGATAATTATGTTTGCTGAATAGCATGTCATCAGCACCTATTGAAATTTCAGAAACTAGAGTTGAGTCTGGTCAATTCTTTAGTCTGGGTTCTTTTCTTTAGTTGCAAGTCTAGCCGTATGTATGTATGTATGTATGTATGTATGTATGTATGTATGTGTGTATGTGTGTATGTGTGTATGTGTGTATGTGTGTATGTGTGTATGTGTGTATGTGTGTATGTGTGTATGTATGTATGTATATGTATGTGTGTATGTGTGTATGTGTGTATGTGTATATGTGTATGTGTATATGCAACCAGCTTTAGTATAGAACAGTTGAGCTAAGCCATGCCCAGGCTCCTTGCTGTCTATATATATAGACTTGCAACTAAAGAAATATATATATAAGTGAAATACATTCACGCATCATCACAAATTCTCCAGAACCGTAAAGCCTACAAACTTGAAATTTGGCACATATGTTCCTCTTGGCTTCCAGGTGCTCGCTAAGAAAGGATTTTTCAAAATGGCCATCAGAGCATTCGTATTTCATATATTATTATTAACATGCTCTGATGCTAAGGAGTTCTACTCCCCCTCCCCATCTGAAAAGAAATCGCTTCCAAATGCAAAACACAAGCAGAGGAGAGGAGCTTCAGTTTCAGTTTTAGTTCCACAGCAGCAGCCAGCTTTAGTATAGAACAGTTGAGCTAAGCCATGCCCAGGCTCCTTGCTGTCTCCTTTTTGCTCACACAGCAAACACTGTTTCAGTTTCCAAACAGCCCTCAACTCTCTCACACACTGAGAGGACGGTAACCAGATGAATACCGATGGATGCTGGTAGGCAGAGGCACAATTCCCCCCCCCCATTATTTTCCTCCCCCAAAACTAAGCCTGTTCACATAGTTTCGTAGCAAAACACGGGTATCGTGCTTGTATGTATGTATGTATGTATGTATGTATGTATGTATGTATGTATTTGTTTTCTGAGGTTCTCGTGGGTATTTGTATGTGGATCTTTGGTTATTCGGGTTTTCTCCCGCGTAAGATTGGAAGTTTCTAGGCAACATTTCGATGAAGTCTGATTCATCATCTTCAGGCTTGTGTCTTCGGCTCTGTGCTTCTCAGAGTAATGTGAGCTTGCAGCTGCTTCTTCCTTTTAACTGCTAGAGGGGATGTGACTTGATTGGGTGGGGGCTTGGCTGTGTTCTGATTGGGTGGGGGTTTGGCTGTGTTCTGATTGTGTTTTGTTCTGATGCCAACCCCCCAACCAATATATATATTGAATATATATATATGTTCAAGTCAGAAAACAAATCAAAGGGGAGAAAATCACATTTTTGCAATGGTTAAGCAGGTCTGTTTCAGCAGCCAAATTGAAATGGTTTGAGTGTGAAATGTTTCGTGTTTAGGTCTCACAAAATGCTCATCATGTTTGCTCTGCAAAATTGAGACATATTTTTTTTTCTATTCCAGAAGCAGACTTAATTCGAAGGTGTCAAGCGGGCTCATTCTGTCCTGAAGCTTCTTCTGTTCCCATTCTTTGTAGTCCAGGTAAATGCATTTCTCGCTTTCACCAAGAAATTCTTGGCATTCACATCTGGATGTCCAAGTTTCTTTCTCTAGACCGGAAGAAACTGAGTAGATTTGTCCTGAGATGACTTCTATCTCCCAAGGTCTGATCTCAACAATGGGCTGTAAATTTGATGAGCAGCCAACGAAAGAGATCAACACTCTGTTTGGTGAACCAATAGCCAAGACATGACAAAAAGGAAGAGCAATGGGATCCAATAGGGTGTATTCAGAGCCTGAAACTTAGTGCTGTTTTGCTCTCAGGATATTTCCACAATCCTTTAAAAGAATCTGTTTTGCATTCCAAGCAGCAGGTTCACACCCAAAATGAGATGGACCATGAGTTTCCACACTTGGAATATAAGATTGGAAGTACGCACAGCCACAATATAGCACATTTCCCTCCCTATACTTCTTTTCCTTACTTCTATTGCAATTGAAGATTTCTAGAACTCTGCAGCCTGCTGGATAGCTGTGACTTGCGTTTGGGGGAATGGTTGGTTCTATCTAGCCTATCTAGCCTTATGTCATCAATGTGTGAATCATAGAGGCAAAAATCCTGGAAGTTCTGATAGATTTCATACCTGGTGCAAAAGCGATGCAGCTTCTTGCTTTCTTCTTTCTGATCTACGGTTCGTTCTTTCCATCCCTCAGCTTTGTCCCCGGCATCTAATCAAAGCCCTCCCCAAAGCATGATTTTCAAAAATGAAGTATATTCACCCAACTGAACTGGAATTGTTGCCCAGTGCAGTTGAATATTCCTCTGATCTGTTTTGACTGGGTTCTGAGAGAGGTTGTCTAACTCAGCTGGATCTAGGTGAAATAGAAATGGAAATGGAAATGGAATAGAACAGAACAGAATAAGGAAAGAATGAACAGAATAAGGAAAGAATGAACAGAACAGAACAGAACAGAACAGAGTAAAGTAGAGCAGAGTAGAATAGGAAAAGTATGAATAGAGTAGAGTAGAGTAGAGTAGAGTAGAGTAGAGTAGAGTAGAGTAGAGTAGAATAGAATAAGGAAAGAATGAATGGAATGGAATGGAATGGAATGGAATGGAATGGAATGGAATGGAATAGAATAGAATAGAATAGAATAGAATAGAATATAATAGAATAGAATAGAATAGAATAGAATAGAATAGAATAAGGAAAGAATGAATGGAATGGAATGGAATGGAATGGAATAGAATAGAATAGAATAGAATAGAATAGAATAGAATAGAATAGAATAGAATAGAATAGAATAGAATAGAATAGAATTCTTTATTGGCCAAGTGCGATTGAACACACAAGGAATTTGTCTGGTGCATATGCTCTCAGTGTACATAAAAAGAAAAAATATATATTCATCAAGAATCATAAGATACAATACTTAGTGATAGTCATAGGTTACTAAATAAGCAATCAAAACATACTAGGAAACAAATAAAACAATATAAATAGTAGAGACAAGCAACAAGGTGATAATCATAAGTGGGAGGAGATAGGTAATAGGAAGGATGAGAAGAATAATAGTAATGCAGTCTTAGTAAATACTATAGTTTGATGCTGTTGTGGGAATTAGTTGTTTAGCAGAGTAATGGCATGCGGGGGGGGGGCTGTCTTTGTGTCTAGTTGTTCTGGTGTGCAGTGCCCTATAGTGTCATTTTGAGGATAGAAGTTGAAACAATTTCTTGTTTTATTTTGCCACATGTGTATATGCCCTTGAAACGACACCGATAGAATTGCAGTCTATTGTAGCTTAGTTTAATAGGGCATGAATATTATCTTCAAATTATGATTTGAGAAGACACATCCTAGCGCATATTTTTCTTTCTTTGTAAGGTTTTTACTGTGCATCTTCTGAATTGGCTGCTCCATCTGGCCCATGTGATCCCGGCTTCTACTGTACTGGAGGCTCTACTCTGCCCAATCCAACTGATGGGATAATAGGAGACATTTGTCCTCAAGGCTACTTCTGCCCTCAGGGAACATCTTCCCCAGTTCCTTGCCCAGCAGGTAAGGTTGCATGTAGATAGTGTTGCTATATTTCTCAGCTCACTCTTGATGGCATGAAATTCAATGAAATAGGGAAGGGAGGGAAGGGAGGGAAGGAAGGAAGGAAGGAAAGAAGGAAGGAAGGAAAAAGGAAGCAAAAGGAAGCCAGATAGTTAAGAAAAGAATGCAGCACTACTTTGTTTTCTGAAATTCTGGGTTTCTACACATTTAATTAAAATGGAGACTTTAAGGACCTGTTAGACTGATATGTCTCTTTCTATAGGTTCGTTCTTAGCCCACCAAGGTGGACGGTCAATCCAGGATTGTCATCTCTGCCTAGCAGGCTGGTTCTGTTCCCTCCGGGGCCAAACTTTTCCAGAGAATTTGTGTACAGAAGGCTGGTTCTGTCCAGAGGGGTCAATATTTGACCAAAATCCAGGTAGGGGATTATTCTACACTCAAAGGAGACTACTTTTTATTGCTGGAAAAGCCCAACTCATCTCATAGAATTGTTGTCATGGAAGAGAAGGAAGATTAGTTGTGTTTGCCACTTTTTTAAAAATAAATTTTATTAATTTTTCAAAATTTAAAAAACGTAACATAAAAATTTATACATTGTTATCAACATCAAGACATCTTTTGTATCTCCTTACATTTTTCAGTATATGTATTTACTTAGTTGTGTTCGCCACTTTGAGTTACTTATAAAAATAATAAAAATAGGATTTACATTTAAAAAACAACAACCCAGAAGCCATGATTCTTGCGGGATTGAAATTTGGCAAAGTTGTGATTGCTTCAGTCAAAGAAATAATAAGGCTTTCTCTCTCCCCTCCTCCTTCTCTCCCCCCTCCCTCCCTTTCTCTCTCTCCCTCCCTCTCTCCCTCCCCCCTCCTCTCTCTCTAGACCAACTTTGTCCTCTGGGTCACTATTGTCCCCAAGGGAGTCCAAAACCTCAGCTGTGTCCTCCTGGTAAATACCAAGATGAAGTGGGCCAAAGTCTGTGCAAAATCTGCCCTGCAGGAAAGTAAGGAACACATTTTGCAACCTTGTCTAATTAAATTGCAGGCAGCTTCTTTGCATTCTACATGATAGCTGTTCAAATGCATCAGGAAGACTCTACATCGTCTTATTCTTACTGCTGTTTGCATTTCCCATTTATTTCTTCCATGCAAAGGAGATGCCTTTATGTATCAGATCCAATAGCCAAGCCATGTAATTCCACTCTTTTTACCTGTTTCCCCAATTTAGGCTGTCCCTTCTGATATATCGTGACCACTTATGAAGGCTAGCGAGCTATGTCTGAAGACAATCGAAGGAATTCTTCCGAGAACCGAGATATTTTGTTGTACACCTTTGATTTAGCGCTTTTTATGCTCATTTTAGAATGATTGTGATGCTCATGTTTATATGATGACAATTCAGATTAGTGGTGGGATTCAAAAAATTTTACTACCGGTTCTGTGGGCGTGGCTTGGTAGGCGTGGCAGAGAATGGATACTGTAAAATCTCCAATCAGAGGCGGTATTTGCTGGTTCTCCGAACTACTCAAAATTTCTGCTACCGGTTCTCCAGAACTGGTCAGAACCTGCTGAATACCACCTCTGATTCAGATGTATCCTGTGAGCTTACTAGGAATCAATGATCTGTGAGGCGATTTGAACATTCAACCTGTAGCTTTTAGGGGGTTGAAATCATCTCACAGATCCTCAATCCTTCACCACTCTTATGATCTATCATCAGTAGTTCTGAACCTGTGGTCCTTGGACCCCTGAGGGGCCACAATGTCATCAGAGGGAGTCCCTGAAGACTTGAAAAAAATATTATGATTTAAATCTTGAGTTAAGTCAAGATTTTAGGGGTCCATGGCCATGTTCTGTGGCCATGAAAGGTGTTCAAAGGGGGTCCGTGGTGAAGAAAAGGTTGAGAACCACTGAGCTATCTGAATGATGGTCATAATGTTTGAGGCACCCACATGAAATTCAGATTTGGCCAGAGAACTGAGCTTCCAGTAGCCTGGCTTCTATTCTAGTGACTCCCAATAAATAAACTGGTCGCTTTGCATAATTCCTACCCATAGGAGGGCGGAAATGAAAATGAAAACAGACTGAACATTGTTAGCTTTATTGACAGGTTCTGTGATCCCAGTTTCCAAACACGAGTTCCCAGGAGTTCCCGAATGACTTCTCCAGGAGTGATCAACCCCATGGACTGCCCGCCGGGATACTATTGCCTGTCAGGAACAAAAACGGCTAAGCAATATCCTTGTCTCGCTGGGACCTTCAGTAACCAGACCAGTCTGAGCAGCTTCAGGGAATGTGAGCCATGTCCTGGGGGCAAATTCTGTGCCAGGCCAGGTAATCGGAGAGGAGACTTGGTCCGCCGCCTGCAAAATCTGATTTCGTCCAAGGACGTAACTGGGTTTGCATTTGCAATGTGCTGCTTTGTTGCAAGCTACATTGGTGGTTTATTAGTGATTTTGTGATGAAGATGAAGAAGAGGATGGAGATGAGGATGATTCCCAATGAGAAGTTTGGAGAATATAGTACCTCTGCCTAAGACCTTGAATTCCATTCATTAATTTAATTAATTAATTATTTAGATTGCAGTGCACAGTGAGAGACAATACATCCGCTATATCTATATCTACCGGTATATCTATATCTATATTTACTGGTATACCTACATCTATATCATCTATCTATGTCTCTATCTCTATCTCTATCTCTATCATCTATCATCTATCATCTCTATCTCTTCTCTGTCTATCTATCTATCTATCTATCTATCTATCTATCTATCTATCTATCT